TTTTAATGCGTACACCAACCCCACCCCTAACCCTACCCCCAGTGACATCACTCGTAGAAGAAGTGCAAAAAAGGTGGAGCTCAAGCTTAAGCTCCCCCTCGCTGGAGCTCAGCTCTCCTCAAATAGCTCTGCAGCGAGCACCACTTGGATCTTTAATGACTGCAGATTATCAGGACCTTGGTTTAACCTCTCACTTGAAGGATGTTGCTCACTGACATTATAGTGTCCCAATCATCATACTGGGGCACTAGGACCCATACAGACCACAGGATCAGTATCACCTTTTCCAACAGCATTCTAGATTTGCCATGTGGTCTCCCATCCAGGCACAACCCTGCTTATCTTCAGAGCTGCCGAGAGCTAGCTGCTGTCCTGATAGATGCTAGTAAATAAATTTGCTTGCTGTCCTTGGAGGGGGATTGAACTTGAGACTCGGCTTAAGCTACAATGCCACTACAGTATATCTGTACTATGAGAAAGAGAAAGTGAGGAGGAGGTGGAGGGAAGCTGCAGGAATTGTTGCTGGGACTGGTGAAGTAATGATTGATTAAAATGACTGGAAGGATGCAGAGTCTTCGCTGACCCCTTGCATTCTCCAGCCTCCGGCGCCTAGACTGCACCTCTCCACAAGACATTTTGCCATTTGAGAAATGGTCGTGCTAACTGAGCCAGGTTTCTCCCAAGGTTTTTTTTTTCCTTCACTTCCACCCATTGGTGAATTTTTTTTTTCCTTGCCACTGGCTTGCATAGTTCAGAACCTGTAGAGCTGCACATCGATGGATTACTCTTCAGTGTTTGGACTCTCAGCAGTGAATATTAAAACACATTGAACTGAACTGAGCTAATCTAAACTAAACTGAACTACACTGTTTCAATTCACTATAATCTTCTATGTGAAGCTACTTTGACACAATCTACATTGTAAAAGCGCTATGCAAATAAAGATAGATTAAATGTGTAGGCTCCTCTAAAAACCTGTTTGGAATTTCTTTGTGACAAATCTGAGTGAAATAGATTTTCAAATGGAAAATGCATAAAAAGAAATTCAAAAATCTATAATGCAGATCTGTGTGTTTGTTTGCGATCTATTGTAAAAAAAGAAAAAAAAAAGAAATAAAAAGACAGAAAGACAGATTGATTTAAGGGTGACTTGGCACTGTGTCTTTGTTTTCCGAGCATCTTTATCATTTGATTTCATCGTTGTCCTCGGCTTACTCAGCCGCTACATGTGGTAATTGGTGGGTGAAGCTCTGTGAAGGTGGAATTACTATATAAAGTGATGCATTCCAAAACCTATTGTTTTGACTGATTGCTTTAATAAAAACTGTTTTAAGACTAATAAGAAAGTTCTGAGTTCTGAAAGCGAAGCAGTGGCGCAGTAGTTAGTGCTGTTGCCTTACAGCAAGAAGGTTGCCGGGTCGCTGGTTCGAGCCTAGGCTCAATTGGCGTTGCTGTGTGGAGTTTGCATGTTCTCCCTTGTTTGCGTGGGTTTCCGCAGGGTGCTCTGGTTTCCCCCACAGTCCAAAGACATGCGGTACAGGTGAATTGGGCAGGCTAAATTGTCCGTAGTGTATGAGTGTGTGTGTGAATGTGTGTGGATGTTTTCCAGAGATGGGTTACGTCTGGAAGGGCATCCGCTGCGTAAAAACTTGCTGGATAAGTTGGCGGTTCATTCCGCTGTGGCGACCCTGGATTAATAAAGGGACTAAGCCGACAAGAAAATGAATGAATGAATTAATAATATAATATATAAAAGAGATGCTCAGATCAGGCTTGTTAACTCAAACAAACCCCATGCGATCTGTTCATAAAATTGGCCGGATTGGTGAGTGCCCAGTCATTAAATGTGATTATCGATTAATCGATTATCAATCTTTGGCCGATCAATCGGAGCATGCCTAATACATAATAATAAAAAATTAAGTATAATAATAGCTTTACATAATACATTTCTACATTTGAATGAATTTCTTTCATGCAGTTGTTCATGTTTCTTGGGTTGGTTTAATGCATTCCTAAGTAGTTGCTAGGAAGCTTTAATTAAGTTTTTCTCCAGTGTTGTTGCTAAGCTGTTACAATGTGTTTGATGATTTGACACTTCTACTAGTACAAGTGAACTAAAATACAACATCTAACTATAATCATGAGCAGTAATAGTGATGCTTGATTGGTCCAACCAAATTCAAGAACAAAAGAGGTTAAAGTGAAGTCTAAATTTAGACTACTTGGTAAGTGTGTGTGTGTGTGTGTGGTAGATTCTGAAATTTACAATTTAGCAAAGAGGAAGTGTGGTCAGTTTTGTGCCACTCAGCTTTGTATGTGCAGAGCATTTTAAATAAAAATCCATTGACTGACCTTATGACTTACTAGACTGGGCATTTGTAGTCATTTGAGAATTACCGTGCACATTATTACACGAATTCACTCATTATTAATTTACAACTATGAAAGCTGAAATACCATACAGTCTACTGACTTCCAATATGAACAACTCCAGTTTCTTTTGGTTAGCCACGTTGAGTCTCATCAAAGGGTTTCAGGTCATTCAGGTTGACCTTTCCTGGACCCCTACTGCAGCCCAGAGCCCCTTTTTTGGTCTGGCTTCCTTTCTTTAATATGAGCTCTGAGATTGGAAAGAGGAAGCCAGACCTGAGGAATGCTTTAAAGAATTCGGATGTCCCATTGAACCCTAGCCCGTCACGCTGTCAATCATTTGTGCAGATGCCAACAGCCAAACTATTTTCTTAATCCATTCCTCTATCTAGTTCATCATGGGTGGTTGAGCAACCATTTTGAAAAACAGTTGTGTAAATTGTGCAGTGCAATCTTCTATGTGAAGCTGCTTTGACACAATCTACATTGTAAAAGCGCTATAGAAATAAAGGTGAATTGAATTGAATTGTTGGAGTATATCTACATGGTATTCAATTTTTGGTGTATATCTCCAAAATAGAAATCTACATCATATAAGTATAATCATAAGTCAGATTTATACATCAAGAAATTGCAGTTGCTATTGTAATTGAAAGCAATGCTGAAGCTGTTTTTATATTTAATACTCTAAAGCTTATATTGAAACATTGGGGGCTTTAGTCTTTAATCTTGCTTTGAAATAAAATAAATAAATCACAAAATATAATTTAGCGATATGATTGTTTATTTGCAATGGTGGGAGACTGAGTTCCTTAGAGTGTTTTCACTCTTTGTTCAATTGCCTGGACCGTACCCAAGTTCAATTGTCCTCCCCCCTTGCCGCCCTGGTTTGGGTTCACATTGTCTTTTCCTTCTGAACCCCAGTACGCTTGGGTCATCAAGTTGCTGTTTAGTGTAGGGATGTTGCTAGTTGATGGACACAAAAGCAAAGTGCCAAAATGGAAGAACGTCCGCACATTGAGGTCATTCTGCTTTTATTCAATCTTTTGGTTTTGGACATACAGAAAGCGTCTCGAACGGCATGAAATGTCATCAGTCTACAGACATTTCCCAGTATTTCTGTTTCAATTAGGATTTCAAATTAATTAACCTCGAAAAAGGCAAAGCAACGCAATCCCTACCAGATTACTGTTGTGTTTACGATAAGGAAAAACGCTAAACACATATGGGCATTTCTTCTTGTTTCTGTTTTCTGAACTAGTTTACAGATGGCCAATCAAAAAGTAACTCGGGGTTATACAAAGAGTGGCCAACACTAAATGCATACATTCCTTATATGTGAGTCCCATCTCGCACTCAATACACTACAATTACTATGGTATAAATACAGCACTACAACATACAAAAGAGAGAGATTGACTTAGAATGTCACTCACCAGTTTAATAATGAATTGATTAACTGTAGTTGGAAATCATGCTGTTTTTCTCCTCTAAGGGCTTATTATGTGGTCTCTGTCGCCATCTTGTGGATAGACAACATCAACCGTCTTTGCTCTGCTCAATGACAGGCTAATGGATGCTCATGCGCTGTCTCAAAAATTATAAATATCATAAATAGGCAGTATCCTTATAAATAAACTTCATAGTTGCAGTCTAATTAGCTTCATTCTTGCCTGAAAAAGCCTCAAAAGTAATTTATGTTGTCCAGCAGCTGCAATATTTGTCAAACTGTAGTGAGTTTATTGATCTGCTGTCACTTCATGTGGCGCAGTAAGACAGAAGGGTGCCTCACAAGGCTGTAAGAGTGCTGTTGTTATAGGAATATCACACAGCTATCAGAACCAATCAGATTCCAGAATATAGAATAGACAAACAGAATATACAAACAAATAAATAAATAAATAAATATATATATATATATATATATATATATATATATATATATATATATATATATATATATATATATATATATATATATATATATATATAAATTTAAATGTCGATAGACGCATTACCAAAATATCAAGGTACTGGTTAGTAGCATAGTTATGTTTGCGATAAAATATAAAGCCACATGATAGACTAGGGTTTGTCCTGATCATAAAATTTGGCTAATAATGATAGACAATGCACATAGTTGTATATGCAGACAAATAATTATAAGGGTAACACACACAAGACTAAAGTTTAATGCAATTAAAATAAAAAATATATACATTACATTAAATTACATTACATGCAAAACCATTTACTATATGTAAATTAACCTTAAGTAAAGTTAAGTTCATGGGGACTTCTAAAAATGTCCAAAAAATAATAAAAATTCCAAGGCAACTTCCAGGTAATGCATTTTATTACCCTTTTCCCATTTTAAAATCCCCTCTCTTTTTAGTGGTTTCGGTGGTATCCATTTCTGAAATTTTGTTACCATGACTATCCAAAACTGAAGCAGGCAATGGAAGCATTTGTTTGTTGAATGTATCGAGACAGAGGAAGTGAAAGAGGCTGAATGATCTCAGTGTACTGCACATCCTTCGAGAATATCAAGCACAGTTTACTGGAAAGGGAAGTGACAGATCAATACCTGCCAGATGCCCATGTGTTCTGTCCTTTCTCTTTTACAGGGGCAACTAGAGGTCACTCTGTCTCAGCCCACTCGATCAGCCAACGGCACTCCTTGGTGAGTTCAGACATTAATGAGGTTTTATACTGTATGTGTGTGTGCATGCGTTCATGCATATATACGTGTGTGTTACATCTTAAGTCAGCATATATTTGACATGGGTTGGTATATGATTCTGATGAAATGATAACCTTGGATAAAAATATCACGGTTTCACGGTATTGTGCTCATTGCTTTAAAATATGTTCTTTTTAAATGTCTGACCATTTACCACTTTGAAAACAGTTTATATTTATTTTGAGATACATGGATAATAATTTGGAGCAGTCAACATGTGAGGCTAAATAATTCAAGTGAATCATTGACTTCTGCTGTCTTCACCAGTTTCAGAACCACTGATTTCTTTACAATTTCAAATGTTATCCTTGGATATCTTTCTGCTGGAGATACTGTTGTCCTAAAAACAAAACCCTTTACAAATATCGTAGGAACAGTAAAGCAGAACAGTTTGTGACCTTGACTTTTCCAAAGCGAGGTATACTTTGAAAACGGTCATCGTCCTATGTCTAGCATATATCATTAAAAACACTGTGGTGGTGCAGTGATTATATCAGATAGTAAAACCATGATATTTTAATAAGATACACCAGCATAGAGACTGAGTTTCTTATGTTCACAAAGACTTCTGTGCAATATACTGTATGTACATGTACATTTTACACTTGTGTATTTGGAAAACGGTTTTAACCAAAGGTGCACGTTTGATCAGTTCTTGCTTTCCTTGGAAATCAAATCCACAACCTTGACGTTAATAGCACTACGCTCTACTGTTTGAGCCACAGGAAGTCTTTTTAATATTTCTGTGAAAACACTAATATATGATTTTTCAGGATTCTTTGATGAATAGAAAGTTGAAATTTACTCAGCAGGAGGTTAATCAGCCACGTGTAAGATAATGGTATGTGAGCCAGCCAGATTTTGTCATAGCTCAGGGTGTGTCACAAGACAAAGAATCAAATGTGCGCAAAAAGTGTTTGACTTTTAATTAGCAAAACCTCAGTGTAAATGGGTGATTATTTTATGGTGTAATCAAGACTGCAAGTCCTTGAAGCTACAGGAAGAGTGTGTGCGCCTGCTAGTTTTGATGGTTTATGAGGACACAACTTTAATGACATGATTGACTAGGCCTTGTGTCCTCAATAAGTTAAAAATCATACTTAATGGTATCTTTGTGTTTTGTGAAGGTTTGGTTTAGGGGTAGGGGTAGGATAAGGCCATATAATGATGTTTTTTTACAGCATAAAATGTATTATACCTCCTGAGAGTCCCCATAAACCACTAAAACCTACATGAGTGTGTGTGTGAGCCTCGTATTTCTTATATTATGAGGTCTAAATGTCCTCTCAAGTATAACAAAATTAATTTTGACATTGTGGGGACATTTTTGTCTCCATAAGGAAAACGGTTCATTAATCTCATCGAATGGAGTATTCATTCATTCCTTCGGCTTAGTCTCTTTATTCATCAGGGGTCACCACAGCGGAATGAACTGCCAATTTGTCTAGCGTAAGTTTTACACAGCGTGTGTCCTACCAGCTGCAACCTTGTACTGGGAAACATCCATAAACACATTCACACACGTACACTATGGCCTATTTATTTAATTCAATTCACCTATAGCACATGTCTTTGGACTGTGGGGAAAACCAGAGCATCCAGAGGAAACCCAGGCCAATACAGGGAATACATGCAAACTCCACACAGAAACTCCAACTGACCCTGCCGGCACTTGAACCAGCGACCTTCTTGCTATGAGGCGGCAGTGCTAACCACGGAGCCACCGTGCTGCACCTAATGGAGTATTTTGAAAATATAAAAATGCTGATTGTTTAATGTGAGGATTGGATTAGAGAAGGGGGAGGAATATATGGTTTGGGCTGTATAAAAATCATTACATTAACAGGAAGCCCATAAAGATAACTATACAAGTGTGTGTGACTTACAGTGTGTGTTTCAGCAGGTTGAGATTTGCATGAAACCTTCAGCCAGACAGTGACTCAGTGTCTTTTATCGCGTGTAGAGGTCGCTGGGTCTCATCACGGATTAGACACACACACGTCCTGTTACCAGAGTGCTTTCTGTCCCGCTCAGCTGGCTGGATGTGGAATGTCTTGGCAGTATTCTTGAGTAAACCGTATTATTTTTAGCAGAGGTTACTCCATCATACTGTCCTCAATCACCATATCTGAACGAGAGGATTAGCTTTGTATGCGTCTCTCATGGTTTATTTCCTCTATCTGGCTTTTTAAATTTCAAGCATTTTATTGATGTTTGGCGGTGGATTTCAGGTCTTTTGGCCAGCTGCTCTGTTCTGTCAATCCATTAGTGTGTCGACCTGACAGGTCACAGCTTGGTGCTAATGTGTTTCCCATGTTTCAGCGGTTGGACTTTCATGGTTTCTGTATTGAATTCTGCAGGGGCTTTTTGCTGTTGTTTAGGGCTGTGCGATTTGGGTTAATTTTTATTTTTTTATTTTTTGACAGATATTGCGATTTCGATTTGGTTTGCGATTAAATATTGTAGTCAAGCTTCAGTTCAATGGCGTTAATGACAAGAAACCCTAAAAGAAGATGTTTTAGTATTGAAGTATTACATATATTTACTTTTGCTGTTGTTATTTACTGTTGCTTAACATGGTAAAACACACACATGAACTGTACATACACATACAAGCAGTCGAGTGTAAGCAAGCCTTCCAGCAAGGACATTGCTTGGTTAATAAATAAGCAGCACTGAATTTTTAATTGGATGAAAATCAATCATCTATTGACTACAGTTCAAAATGCCACTATGGAGAATGCTGCTATATAGATTATTGCCCTACAGAGAGAAGTGCACACTGAGAGTGATTAGTTGTCATGTCATGATTACTTCAGTTAAGACAGTGGTGTGTTAGCAGTTAGTGAACAGATATTGTGTTCCTGTGACAGATCGATGATTTATTCACATTTAGAAAGTGTTTAAATACGTGTGAGAAAATGAATTGTAAGAACCTTCTTTTTTGTTTGTAACATAATGTTGGGTGTTTTAGCTATTTCCTGCATTAAACAGATCTTTTTGTGACAGACTGATGATTAATTTACGTTTCGAAAGTGTTTGAAAGGATTGAGAGAGTGAGATATGGATAACCGGGTCATATTAGCTTTTATCATGGTGTTAACCATTGATTAATCAGGCTATTGATGTGTGTAAGTCACGTGGACTCTCAGTAAAGATCACACACTTACAGAATAAAATCCCCTTAGTAAACGTTTATAGAGGGATGCATAAAATATGCTTTCCTTCTTTCTACCTTTCCTCCATCCCTTCATTTCTTTTATCAGTTTCCTGTCAGTGTGGGCCACACAGATGGTTTAGGTTAGCGAGCCTAGGCCGCAGAGAGCGTCAGAGAGGGAGGGTTACACACACACACACACACACACTGCAATGTTGCCTTCATATTAACCAGTTTGCCTGGCACTATTACTAACCCCAGAGTTTCCAGTTCCATGACGCTGTTCCACTGAAAACATACAAAACATCTGAGCTTAAGCTCTCCAAGCCGCAAGGCCCCCTTGCACGTTAATAGTTTCTATTTAGTCTTTTCATATCACTCACTGTTTATCTATATGTATTATGTATGTAGAACTACACAACATCTAAAATATATATTATATTTATCATTGTAAGCTTGAAAAAATAAGATACTATTTTAAAATGCCCTTTTTTATTTTCTCAAAAAGTGCACTTACATTAGATACTTGTCAGAGATCATACATGTGAATAAACTCCCAAATATAAGCACAAATTCGGTACATCCACCTTCTCTTTCAGCAATATATTCTTTCCTTTATATATGCTTTTCCTTTTTGCATGTAAACTAATGTTATACATAAAAAACATATTGGAAAAAATATTGGGGGACAAAAAAAAAATATATATATATATATATATATATATATATAAATAAATAAAACAAGATATACATACACATAAATGTCAGCAACAAAACTATGTACATGTAGGGAGTGATCCTTCCGATTTTAAGCTAACAGAAAAGTTCAGGTCTATGGGATGTTGCATAATTGCTTCTTTTTTTTTCAGAATGAAATAAATTGTTCTATTTTCCCATTTACAAATGCGGTAATTTTCTCCATTTTATAAATTTCCATTGTAATTTTATTGTATCATTTTGTTCTTCAAAGCTCATCTGGAGTTGTGGTCATAGCAACAGGGCTGGTAGCTAAAACCAGGAGCAGGCTTGTTTCATATAAACCGGATTAGATCGGGTCTTTTCAAGCAAGGGTAATACTGAAAGTACCAAATGAAATTTTCTTACAGTAGTAATTATATACACTTCGGAAAATAGTAAATCATCAAAAAAATATCAAAGTTATTAATTTATAAAAATATAAATATATATGGGGTGGTTCTCCTCAAGGGGTAAAACATTTATTAATATATTTAGATACAAACGCATACTATTTTAAGGTACCAGCTTTAGTACAATTTGTGTATAATAACAGATATGCACAATTATCGACTGTTTTTTTTTTTTAAGGAATAATAATTTATGCAGTCATGCATTTTTTTAAACAGCTAATATGACGAGGGGTTTGATAATTTGCAAAAGTTGCAGACACCTTTTGCGATATCAAAATGCTTTTTTGATTAAAAATTAATTGAAACAGCCAGTTATTCTTTACGCTGATTAAGAAACTTGAATAGGCCTAGGCTACTACAAAGAAAATCTGCTCTAAATGTAAAACTAAATAAATTGCTAAGTACTCATGACACATGAAAATTGCAGTGCCTGCAGCCCACAACAAAGATAGAAAGTTATTGCGTATCATATTTAACAAACTGTTCACTATGAATTCTATGTAGTTTTGCTCACATGGATAATTGAATATTAACCAGATGATGTCATATTATACACTCCTGTGCCATCAGCCAATTGTTGCATTGATGATCATGATTCCGATTGATCGGAATAGATCTGTACTTCACAACACATG